TGCTGAGCAGTTAGAGGGCCCAATCACCATTGATGATCTTAAACGGGCAACATTTTCTATGCAGTCAGGAAAGTGTCCAGGCCCGGATGGTTTTCCAACGGAGTTTTACAAGATCTTTTTCGACAAATTAGCACCATTGTTGATTGAAATGTTCAATGAGTCTCTTACTCTTTCTAAATTACCTCAGACTCTAAATCAGGCATCCATATCATTACTCTTAAAAAAGAATAAGGACCCTCTTTCCTGCTCAAGTTATCGTCCAATTAGTCTTTTATCTGTAGATGTAAAACTTCTGTCCAAATTATTAGCTATGCGACTGGAATCAGTTTTGCCTTTGATTATCTCTCCTGATCAGACAGGTTTTGTCCGGAGCAGACACGGGTTCTTTAACCTCAGACGACTTCTTAATGTTGTTTATAATCCTTCTACATCAACGGGGCCGGAAGCCGTGATCTCATTAGACGCGGAGAAGGCTTTCGACAGAGTGGAGTGGAACTATCTTTTCTACGCTCTGGAAAAATTTGGTTTTGGCCAGGAGTTCATCTCTTGGATTAAGTTGCTCTATTCTTCCCTGTTGCTTCAGTTAGAACTAATGACACACATTCAGAGTATTTCCCTTTGCACCGCTCCACTCGTCAAGGCTGTCCTCTGAGTCCTCTCTTATTTGCTATTGCTATTGAACCTCTGGCTATTGCGCTTCGTTCAGAGCCACGCATCACTGGAATCACTAGATATGGTCTTGAACAGAAGGTTTCCCTTTATGCCGATGACCTTTTACTATATGTGTCCAATCTCTCTATCTCAATTCCAGCTGCTCTTGGCATCCTTAGTTCATTTGGTCAGATTTCAGGGTATAAACTAAATTTGGACAAGAGTGAGCTGTTTCCTTTGAACCCAGGTGCTCACAATGCTGCTCAGGGTTTCCCATTTAAAATTGTTCCTTCTGGCTTTAAATACCTTGGTATTCGGATTTGTGACCGATTCAAAGATTTGTTTGATTATAATTTTGCCCCTTTGTTAGATCAGATACATATGGACTTTCAACGGTGGTCACTGTTACCTCTCTCCCTCGTGGCCAGGGTCAATTCGGTTAAGATGAATATCCTCCCCTAATTGTCTTACCTCTTCCAGTGCATACCTATCTTTCTCCCTCAGTCTTTTTTTCGCAAATTGGACAAATTAATCAATGAGTTTATTTGGAACGGGAAGGTCCCTCGTATGCGCAAGGAGCTGTTGCAGAGACCTAAGAACCTTGGGGGCTTGGCCCTTCCTAACTTGAGGTTTTATTACTGGGCTTCCATCCTCAGAGTTATTCAGCTTTGGATTTCTCTAGAGGGTGCACCAGTTTCTCCTACATGGTTGAGTATGGAGACGTTTTCTGTTAAACCTGCTTCATTGACTGCTCTCGTCCACGCTCCTCTTAGCTTTTCTTCCTCCCTTTTTTGCAATAATATCTTAGTTAAATCAACTGTAAAAATTTGGAAACAATTTCGACGCTATTTTGGTTTACAGTCCTTCTCTTTCCTAGCACCTTTATCAGATAACCCTGTTTTTCACCCTTCCTTAATCGATGGGGCTTTTTCTTTCTGGTCTGATTACGGCATCAAGACATTTAGGGACTTGTTTATTGCGGGTACATTTGCATCCTTCCAGCAACTCTCAGAAAATTTCAATTTGCCAAGGCAGCATTTTTTCAGATATCTTCAAGCTCGAAGTTTCATTCGCAGTCTTAGCCCCAACTTCCCGAATCTCCCAGAGGCCTCTCCAATCGATTAATTTTTAACCCCATTGCCCACCATTAAGGGTTCTATTTCTTATTTATATAACCTCATTTTTTCTTTGCAGCTCACTCCGCAGCATAAAATCAAAACCCAATGGGAGGAGGATCTAGGGGAGGTGTTCTCGGAGGAGCTATGGGATGCCATTTTGCGTCGGGTTCATTCCTCTTCAATTTGCGCTAGACATGGTCTGACCCAGTGCAAAATTCTACATCGTACACATCTCACTCGAGTTAGGCTTTCCAAAATCTATGATGATGTCGATCCCATGTGCGTTAGATGTCGTCAGGCTTCAGCTACCCATGCCCATATGTTCTGGTCTTGCCCTTCACTTCATAATTTTTGGACACAGATATTTAACACTATTTCTGTTTGTACAGGGGTTCAATTTAATCCAACAGCATGCACCGCTCTTTTTGGGGTTTTACCTCCTACTTTGCAGCTGCCTAAATATAAAGCGGATTTTGTAGCCTTTATTTCGTTACTGGCTAGACGTTTAATCTTATTGAGGTGGAAGTCTCCCTTGCCGCCTTCTCACTCGTTCTGGATCAGGGACATTCTTCAGTTCGTGAAGTTGGAGAAAGTTAGGTGCGTGATACAGGGTTCTCATGCAAAGTTTAATAAAACTTGGGTCCTTTTTTTACACATGTTGAGGGATTGACTTTTTCGGCTATTCCAGAGTAGCCACCCTGACTGTCTTTTAATTGTGAGGTTTTATGTAATTTTTTTATTTTTTATTATTATTATTATTTTTCAATGTGATTTAGTAGCATGCTGGGATGTTTTTTTTTTCTCTCTCTCTCTGTAAGCGAGTATATTAAGCTCTTATTTAGCAGTGGGTGATCCTTTTGTGTTTTTTTTTTTTTGTGTGTGTCTTTGTTTTTCCTTTCTTGTAAGTTGTACTTGACACTGTTTTGATTCTCGAATTGTTATCACTTTATTTTGATATGTCGCTGAAAAAACCAATAAACAAATGTTTAAAAAAAAAAAAAAAAAAAAAAGGAGGAAGTGAACGCAACCGCAGTATGTCTTCGCTGAGGAGCCAAGACTGAACTCAGGCGTCTACCAGCGGTAACAGCAGAAGTGGCAGGGAGACGTAACGTCTCCGTTCCCTACTCAGGAACGAGGGTTACATCCGTAACCGAGACGTTCCC